CTAATAACCTACTGGTGACCCACTGCTGACCTATTGGTGTTTCTAAATACCTTTATTTCATAAGTTAACAGTCCATTGGACATTTAGTCACCTCATCAACAAACCAGACAATCACAATAAATGTACTATTTTATATTTAATGTAAACTTAATATGGAGTTTTACATTTGGTGGTTTAAAATCGTGGACGTTTGTTTAATGTTTGTCCTGATGTTTTGCCTTCGTTGGTGTCTTGGATGCACCTAACGCTTCCTTTTTAATGCGGTCTTCTTCTTCTTCTGTGCTCCTGCTGGCTCGGCCTTCTTCTTCTTCTTCTGTGGTCCTGCTGCCTCAGCCTTCCTCTTCTTTTGTGGTCCTGTTAGTTTACATTAGCAGAGGCAAAACTGAAACTAAACACTGAATGAAACATACATATGTAGTAACAGATGATGGTATTTCCCTTCAGTTTAAATACTGACACATCAATTTGATGCACAGAAATAAATAGCAGATGATTAAATGGAACGTAGTTGAACTGTGATCAGACTGTTTTTTCAGAATTATGATGCATCAAATCTTTTATAGAAATCATGTGAATGTAATCAGGCAGTGACACTCCACAGTGTAAATACATGAAGTAAATAAAAACAAAAACACACCTTTCTTCTCAGTTTGTCCTCTAATAGACGTCATGTTTGCTGCTCGGGGAACCGCCGCCCTCCTCTGCCTCGGTGTTTCCTTCCTCTTCAGCTCCACCTCCACAGGATAGTGGTCACTGATGCTGAGGGTCTTGGAGAATAAAGAGTCACATGTTCAGTGCTGCTACTGTCCTTTACATGCTGCAAACAATCAGCTGTGCAGCTGCACACCAACACAAACGTGTGTCAGTCTTACTTCCTCATCGGTCAGCTTGAACTCTTTCTGGAAGTTGAAAGGTTTGGCCGAGCCGGGGACGATGGCGTTCAGCATGGTCTTCCCGTACACCACGATCCTGTGGGCAGAACATCCATCACAGTCTTTGAAAACAGGAAGTTACCTCCTGTACACTTCCTATGGGCTGTACTATGGTGGCAGATTAATGGGTTAGTAAGAATTTAAAGTCAAAGGTGGATCTCTTTTAATCTGAAAAAGTATCCCTGATGCTACACATCTGTTTAAATTGCCTGTAAGAAGCACCAGTATTTCACAACTTCTTTTTCTGACCACGTTCTCTCTGAAAAACTCAAATTCCCAGCTGAGGGAACATGTTTTAACTCTAAACCTGTTGAGCTGTATGCTACCAATTCTACTGAATATGTGAAAGTGCGGGCTGCAAGGTGGCACAGTTGGTAGCACTGTTGCCTCGCAGCAAGAAGGTTGCAGGTTTGCGTCCCAGTGGGGGCACCGGAATCTTTCTGCGTGGAGTTTGCATGTTCTCCCCATGCAGTGTGGGTTCTCTCTGGGTTCTCCGGCTTCCTCCCACAAGGTCCAAAAACATGTTGAGGTTAATTGGTGATTCTAAATTGTCCGTAGGTGTGAATGTGAGTGTGCTTGGTTGTCTGTCTCTAAGTGTAGCCCTGTGATAGACTGGTGACCTGTCCAGGGTGTTCCCTGCCTTCACCCTGAGTCAGCTGGGATAGACTCCAGCCCCCCATGACCCTAGTGAGGATTAAGGGGTGTATAGATAATGGATGGATGGACATGAAAGTGCTGGAGGACTGAACTTCAGCCCTGCAAGTAGATAATATAAATAGTTACGAGTTATCTGCTACAAATGGACATGTTTACCTCATATTGTTGTTTGAGGAAGTTCACTGCTTTATGTTCAATTCAAAATTTGAATTCCCTGCAGATTATTTGTAAAAAAACAAAATGTCTGAGACCAAAGCAAATGGCTCACTCTTTGCTTTGTAAAAACTACTGCTTTTACCAATCTGTTAAAAACGTAGCCCACTAATGCACAAGAAATGTTGGAAACAGAATTTAATGCAATGTAAAATGATTAATAAACCATATTTTAACATGTTCACTGTAAAAAATATATATTTAAAAAAAAGATCAAGTGCATTTTTTGATTGTTTTTCATGTCACACCCTGTGTTTATCTATTTATGTATTTCAGATGACTAAATTCATTAATATATGTTTATACATTTAAGCCATTTAAGCCATCAGTTGTGGTTCTGTGCACATGAGAAGTCATTAAACATTATCCAGACGTATGTAAATTTTCTGCTGCAGAAAGGTGTTGAGAGAAAACTCTGCTCAGACAGCAGCAGGTCACCTGTCGTAGGTGTTGTCATTCTGGTTGCTCGCCGTTGTGTCCACATCATCTTCTATCAGCCAGTGATAAGGAGCAGAGTGGATGCGGATGTTTTTCTTCTTCTTCTTGGAGAGATATTGTCCATCTGCGTTAAAGTCCCCCAAAATCATGATGTTCTGCAGAAATAAGAGGAAATAACAGAAGCATTCATGATCTGATAACTGCACGTACGGTTCTTCTGAACACCTAAATCAAAAAGGTGAAACTCGGTCATGTTTGTGTTTCTCTCATGAGACACATTCAGCTGTAAGGACGTGACAGATCATCTAACAAAGGGCTCAGTATTGGACTGTTTATCACACTCACAGCAGTATTTACATAATGTACAGCTACTAAAATGTAACAGAGTCATAAACTGGCAAAAGGCAGAAGTGCCCAAGAGTTTAAACGTCTGCAGTAAAGGTAGACTGTAAATTCTATTTCAAATAAAGGTGCATCACATAAAACCAAAATGGAAGAAGTATTCAGCCCTCGACCTAAGTTAACATGTAAAAATACTAGATCACAAGTAAAATTGCTGCATGAGAACTCCTACTTGAGTAAAAATATTTGCGGCAAAATTATGTCTAAAAGTCCTCGTTTGGTCCCTCTGACTGATGTATTATTATATCTGCCATCATTACAATATTAATATTGAAGCATTACTGTAGGATGATGTTACTGTAGCTGCAGGTTTTAACTACTCTATATCCACTTTTATATACACAGACAGCAGATACATGTGAGGGCTCCAAACATGTTCCAAGTCGTAAGATTCAAATCTGTTTTTAGTTTCTCTCTAATATTCTCTAAATTTCTTCATTTTTTGCTGGGATGTTGGCTCATTTGAATATTTATTAAAATTAAACTATGTGAGAAGTTTAGAGGGAAAAGTCACCATGTGGTGGCGCTGTTAACGACTACAGACATCTGAAATGTGAGCCAACTGCTACTATTTGAAAAGCTTGCTTTAGTTTCTGTTGTGTCAAATTTACATCTTCAAAGAAGCTGTCAGATAAAAGTAGTGGAGTAGAAAGTACAACATTTTCCTCTGAAACGTATGCAGTACCATAAAAATATACTTAAGCACAGTACTTGAGTAAATTTACTACAATTCTACAATTTCATTTAGCAGACACTTTAACCCAAAGTGATGTACATCTTAGATCAGAGACAACACAAGCGAGGATCTAGTCAGAAGAAAAACAATCTAGGTAAGTGCCGTAGAACAAGTTCAAGTGTGATAGGGCATTAATACCAATAGCAGGCTGTGTGGGAGGTGATAGGATTTCCTTTTATTTTGTTGGTTTGTTTGGTTGGTTATTTGTTTTCAGTCTGTCAAGTGCAAAGGTGTTCAGTGAAGAGCTGGTCTTTAGTCTTTTCTTAAACACTGCGGGGAATGAACAGATTGAACAGAGGTTGGTAACTTGTTCCACCACCGGGGAACCACAGAGGAGAAGAGTCTAGCTATTGATCTTGGGCCCTGTTGTGGTGGTTGGATCAGGCAGTTGTTGTTGGTCAAACGTAATGAGCGGGAGGGAGTGTCGATCTGAATGAGAGTTCAGGAAGGAGGGAGCTGTTCTCGTTGTGGTTTTGTAAGCAAGTGTCACGGTTTTGAATTTGATGCGGGCAGCAACTGGAAGCCAGTGAAGCGATCTAAACAGCGGGGTGACATGTGCTGTTTTTGGCTGGTTGAAAACCAGACGTGCTGCTGCATTCTGGATCATCTGCAGAGGTTTGACTGTGGATACGGGGAGGCCTGCCAGTAAGGAGCTGCAGTGGTCAATGTGTGATATTATGAGAGCCTGTACCAGGAGTTGTGCTGCATGTTCAGACAGGAAAGGTCTGATCTTCCTGATGTTGTACAGGGCGAGCAACCAAGGCCACATGAGTTACTTTCCACCACTGCATATAACATCAAAACCAATGTCAGGACATTCCTCGTACCTGTAATGTGATTTTAAACCTGGAGCTAAAAGTAAAATTTGATTCTAAATCTGCTATGAATTTCATTCAGAACCTGGCAACAAATCCAATTAGTTTCACTCTCATGTATTTCACTTGCAACACTTTAAAAAAAAAACTAAAAGTATCAAGCGTACATTAGTTCCCCATTTCGTCCTGACAGCGTTGACCACATCGTGCAGCTCGTCCAGCTCCTTCACAGAGTCGTCTGGTTTGGTGTGAACTGGGATCAGAACCAGGTCCTTCACAGCTGGAAGGTACATGATAAACAGAACCAAACATACGTGAAGACACCAGCACACACAGGTAGTGAATAAATACACAGTATTATTAATACAAATCCACAGTGTGAGTTTTTAGACTTATACAGAATGTACTGTTACATACCGGCAGGTAGAAGGGAACGAGGTTTAAGGGAATAAGGAGGCAACAAGCTCAAAATATAAAAAACACAAGTACCATCTGTCTGTGTGGATATGATAAGGTATATAAACTCACCACTGGAGGCTTGAAAGTTGCACAAAAGATGGGACAATGAACTGTGTAGCACTTTATAAATGTTCCCACAACGGTTTCTGTGATTACAGGATAAGTACAGTATGTGTGGCTGTAATGTAGAAAGTGATTGTTCACCCCCTTTGTTTCCTTAGGCACTCCAAAAAGTCATTCAAGAGACTAAATTAAATGCACTGCTGCAAGATAAACTAATCTAATTTACTGATTTAGTGAAACCTTTTAGGTTGCAAACATTATTTTGATGGATTGTGTTGACGTTTAATGTTGCATCAGCTTAATGTTGTGTGTAATTTAAACTCAAATTCCTGCAGTAGTTGATCTAAATATTGATCTAAAGCTAAATTCAAGTCGAGGTAACTGAATGAAATCAGCTTCATGACTTCATTCTTCTTCACCGTGTATTTAGGATTTTAAGTCTATTTCCCTATCCTTTAAACATTTCATAAACATAATTTGGAAATAATAATTAAAACAACTTAATTTCTATGAATAATCGACAAAGACTTTTGTTTATGCTACTGAAGTACCTTTGATTTTAGAGAAAAAACAATTTCCTCAAACTCACTGTTGGTTGAACAGAATTTCAGGAGAATTTGCAGTGACTTAAAAAGATTGATCCAAACTGTTGCATACCTACAAATATGTCCTACTGTTTCTGAACACAAAAACCTCCGCTGTACATTTGGATTGAAGCAGTGTGTTGTGGGCTGTGATTTGACTGAACAGCACAGACCTGCAGTGGGACAGCTGAAGCGCAGGATGAAAGGCTCTCTGGCGAAGACGTCTTTGTCTCCAGCCTGATTGTCTTCATACTGGTAGTGGGCCGTCAGCGTCAGCTCGTCCTCTCTGTTTGTGTGCATGTTACATGACATTTGTGTAAAACCAAAACTTTGGATCCACAAACTATGGAAAGATGTTTTCATCTCACACAAAGATTTAATGTTGGCTTTAATGTCAGTACTATGTGATGTAGACGGTGAAGCTGGACTCACCTGTAGAAACAAACAAACTGCTCCTTGTACGTGTCTCGTCCCAGCTGGTCGCTGGAGATCATGGTGTAGGGACGCTGTCTGTTGTCGCTGATGGAAACATGAACAACATGAGAGGACACCACTGTCACGTTACATGAAGTCTGTGTGGGTGTCAAGACTACTGCACTTCCCTTTTAGGTTCTTTAAGACGTTTCACATCTTATTCAAGAGGCTTCTTCATTTCTAAAAGAAAAGCCTAAAGGAACAGTTCAGTTACTGTTTACTGAAGCTCTAGGCTTACCCATATGCCTTTTGTTTATGGAGTTACTTTCCTATCTTTAATCAAGAGTGTGGTCCCTAAGTTTGGGAGCATTTTAATGGGTGTTGGTAAAATGGGACACTTCCTGGGAATGTGTATTCTGAACAAGTTGCAGATTTTTTTTCCCAAAGCCCCAGCTCCCAATTTCATAAAGTTCTATCCTCAAAAACTTTATTTTTTTTCTGTCAAAATCACTCAGAGCAGTGTCCCACTTTAACAGGATACAACTGGCAAAATGGGACACTAACACAATTAACATTTTTCAAAAAGGCAGAGGGAGTGTAGAATTGGTTGAACAGTTGTGAACAAAAGAAGTCTCAAGTTCCCAATGACTCATCTAACTCTTAGGTTCCCTTGAATGATCGGCTGCAACACTCCTTGTCACAAAAAACAATCATGCATTTGGTTCTTTAATAGATTTTGTCACATTTCCAGAAGACATAAAGCAAATCTGTCTAAAATAAAAATGCATGACTGTTTTTTGTGACAAAGACAAAGAGAGAAAATTCTGAGTTGTAGGAGTTATTGGAAACCCAAGACTGCCATGATGTCCGTGGTCTTTACAGATATAAACTTTTGCTGACATCTGTACATTCAGCAGTGAACTCACGCAGCGTTGTTGAGTTCTTGTTTTAACTTCTGCATGGCTTCGCCGCTCTTATCCATCACCTCTAGTATCACCACCACGCTGTACCGAGACATGACCTGGAGGAAACACACGCCATCACATCACTGCTGTCCTTTATCTTTTTCCTGCATGTTTCTTGGTCTCCCGTGTGCATGAACATTGCTACATGGATGGAATTATGATTACCTTGGTGAGGTAGCGGACGACAGTCTTGTCTGCAACTTTTTTCTGTCCGAGGTTCTTGGCATTAAAGGCTGCTATCTTCATTCTGACTTCATTTGGACAGAAAGATAATTCAGAGGGTTTGGAGGATGAATACAAGGTCAGCTTCAACATGCAGCACAGATGTGACTCAACCATGAAATCATGCTCAATTCATTCATTCATTCATTCATTCATTCATTCATTCATTCATTCATTCATTCATTCATTCATTCATTCATTCATTCATTCATTCATTCATGTGACTTAATTCAGACTGTTTTATGCTTATGTTTAATTCATTTTTATCTCTGCAGCACTGCTGGGTGTGCTGATGTCTACATATAAAGTTTATAACAGCTACACTGTGTTGCTGCACTGTATAAATAGTTTCCAGCAGATCCTACTGATTAAATTGCTCCAGAAAAGGCTTAATTTTTAAATCGTTAGCCCTTGAAAATGGAAGAAAGTGCAAAATTTTCAAACAAGGTTGGTACCGGAGCCTCAAAAGTTCATGTAAATACGTATATGTGGATGTAACCAATATTTCCTGCTAAAAAAAATCAACATTTTACGTACTTTTGAGACTTCTAGCATCAGTAGATCTTGACTTGTGTTTATTTTCACATGCCAAAATGGTGAGAGTGGACTAACTAAGACCAGAAAAACTGGCAACAAATCTCCATATGGACCAATCTACAAACTGTTGAGAATGACCCCACATCAACATCTGGTCATTACAGCAACAGCCTGGAACCTCTGTGTGCCATGTTACATATTTAATCTAAATATTTTCAGTTTGACCCAATAATGGTGGTTCTATAATGTAGGTATGAGATGTTATTAATCACATTTTGACAAAGATGAGGTACAAGTTGACCCAAAAAGCTGCTGCAGGGTTTCCCACATCAGAAAATGTGTTTTGAATGTTCCATGAAGGTTTTTCAAAAACACTTTGTGAATACTTTAACAATAGTGAAACAACTCAAAGTCATTCAAAATGTTATTTCATTTAATTACCAGTAATGCAACAAGAGTAAAAGTGTTATTTGTGTAGAGGTTTGTATTATTACACATCTTATATTATAGGATTATAACATTATTATTACAGATGCATTAAAGTTGCAGCTTGTTGATGCAGCCTTTATATCTTTATCTGTAAAAATGCCCCATACTTTATAAGATGATGACATGTTTTGCATTCAAATATATTCTCCAAAAAACAACAAACGAAAACCCCCCTAACCTTGATGATCATTTCTTTTCACTGCCTTGACTTCAGCTTATCAAATTTTCCTTTTCAGTTATTTAGTTTCATACTGAACTTTTCAAAAATGTTCAGCACTCCTTCGGTTTGCTCACAACGCAAGCAGCAAAAGCAGTTTTCAACTTTCATCCTGAATGTGTGATAACAACCCAGCAGCAGCAGCAGGTTCAGCTTCAGTTCACAGCCTTTAAAATGAAACTAAAAAAGTATTCAGCTTTCTTCTACTGCTGGAGTCAAATTACTGTCTGATGCAGTGAGGTTTGAGTTTTTAAAAGCAGTAAATGAATGCAAACAGAACAAAAACTCACCTGTGTGGCTGAAATACGCAAAATCAAAGAGAAAGAATTGAAACAGCTGCTCATGTGTCAGCAGGCTGAAGAAAACAGAACAAAGCTGCAGAGTGCAGGAAGTGTCTCTGCCGGCCGCAACGCGCACACACACACAGACACACACACACACACACACGCACACACACACACCTACACACACACACGCACACACACACACACACGGATACATGCAAACCGTAGCACAGGCAGCAGTTATCAGCAGCAGCTTGTGTTTGTTGTAATGAAGTTGAGCTGAGGTGTTGATCAAACCCTACAGTTCTCTGTTCACTGAGGAAAACACATTATTTCTCCACTATGAAAGCTTGCAGATCTGTTTACACAACATTAGGTCTGTCAGTGGTCTTAATGAGGAGTTTAATATGAAGCCTTTCCACCTCCTGAAGCTGTTCTCTGCTCTGAGCTTTTGTTCAGAGGCTGCTCAGAGGATCCTTGATTGTTTATTGGTTTTTGTTTTTTCCCCTGCTGCTGCATTTGCTTTTGACTCTTTCATGTATTCCTAAATGAAGAATCATGGAGGAATAAGAAACATCATTCCTCTGGGCTGAGAAATATAAATCAACCTTCTCCCCTCCTGCACAGGACTCAATCAGTTTCTTTGTAGTCTTTCTGCATCTCTTTGTGTTTGTTTCACGTCCCTTTGTGGGCATTTTGTGTCTCTTCATGATCATTTTGGGTGCATTTGTGGTCATTTTGCGTCTCTTTGTTGTGTCTCTGTGGTCATTTTATACCTGTTTTTGGTCATTTTGTATTTGTTTGTGACCATTTTATGTTTCATTGTGGTTATTTTGCAAATGTTTGTGGTCGTTTTGTTTTTCTTTCTGGTTGTTGACATCTTTTTGAGGTCATTATGCGTCTCTTTGTGTGTCTTTTTCGCCATTTTACATCGTTTAGGATCATTTTGCAACTTTTTTTTAGTTGTTTCACATCTCTGAAATCCTCCCATCCTTCCTCTTTCTGTTTATTTTGTGTTTCTTTTTGGCCATTTTGCATCTTTCGTTGTTTTACATCGCTTTATGTCTCTCTGTCATTTTTGATCTGTTTGTGATCAGTTGATTAAACCGTCGAACTGTCACAGCTCTAAAACTATCATTTCCATGCATTTTCCAACCTATGAGTAATGTTAAAATCACCTGTTTTTGAAGAGAGATATAGTTAGAGATAAGCTGTTGAACACGATGACACCGAACCCCCAAGAACATCGCTGGACTCTGCTCACACTGAGGAAGGAGTCTGCAAAATATTTAATAAAGTGAAATGACTCTTTTAATTACTAGAATTACTTTCATTTGATTCAGTAACAGGTAGAAAGTCTGGAGGAGATGCAGTAACTTTATTTAAACCCAACTATGTGTGCCGGGAGTGAACAGGAACTACAGTAATAAACGCTTCCTCCAAGCTTCAGAGAAGGATGTGAATGCACTCACTCTGGATCCAAACTTGTGGAAGGGAGTGAAACCTGTTCTTAATAATGATGCATGCAGGGGGTGAGCCAAAGACAAGACTACAGAGAGGAGACCAGGTCATTCTAATATGGTGCTATTATAGAAAAAGACTTTAATTCATAAATCATGTTTTTTGATATTTAAAGGTCTGGTTTTAATACACAGACAGCAAAAACATCAGACCAGCTTTCCAACAGAAGCCCACCATTCATGCTAAAGGATGACTTGACCTGTCATTGACTGTAAAACACTCTAACACCACTCAGATGACTGCTAGATGATCTGCTGATTGAAATTCACTGATTTATCACTGAAGTGAAAAAAGCTTCAATCTGACAGAATCGCTCTGATTCATTCTTTCCTTGTCTGTTTCCTCTGCATCGCCTCTCATCTCTTCCCGCTTCTTTTCAGTTACCCAATCAGTTTGAAATTCTCAGGGTCAGGTTCCTATTTTTGTGCATCACTGACTCATGGGCGAACCTGCACACACGCGACCGTCCCAGCAGCAGCAACATCACCACGACTTGTTCTGGTAAAAAACAATGTGGTTACAGGCGTTTTCTTACCATCACTGTGGAAACAAACAAAACAAGAGAATCACAGCACTTGGAAACCTGACAAAACAATTTACCAAAACACAATGTTACCACTGTCACAGTGGGAACGCACCACGTCACTGAGTAACTGAAGGGGATTACTGGAGGCTCGTCTCTCTCAGTGACAGAAACGGTCGAGAAGAAAGTTTGTCCCGATTATAAAAAACAACAAATTCATGTAAAGTCACACAGATTACATTTCTGAAGATTTAAAGTCACAATTATGACAAAAAGGCAGAACTATGAAATAGCATAAAGAAACTCAAAGTGACGACACAAAATCACATCCACATCTACAGTGATTAACAAATTAGGCAACCTGTCTAATTTATTAAGCACTGCATATGTATGTAGGCTACCAGCATCATGACGTGCTTTAATGCCACTCAGCTCTTGACATTTTACCATTTTGAACAGGAATGAGGAATTTCAAACTGAATTCATTTTTTTATACCCAAATCTGAGCCCCTGGGCTTCTCTGAGAAGTCAGAAATTAATCAAGCATAATATTCAACCACTAAAGCTAATTTTTCTGTTCAGGAATGCAAATAAATAATAATGTGCTTTACTATTTCTTATGTTTTGTTTGTAAAACAGTAAATCTGAAAATGCATGGATAACAATAACAGTTATATTCTAGCATTAAAAATATCATTTTGGTTAAAGAGCTTCTACATACGGGTCTATTACCCGCTACAGAACCATAAGAAATGATTGTGGTAATTACCAATGCTGTTAATTTAGGGCAGCTGTGGCATAAACCTGACATTGGGTGACGGTCTTATGCATTTGCTGAGCTCTGTACATGTTCCACAGGAACTTATATTCTTACTTTCATTCTAAGTAAATATTCAACATAAAGCAAAAACAAACACAAACACTGTTTTAACATTAACAATTATTTAATTACATCAAATATGAAAAACACATCCACAGTGTCTGATTTTACAACCGGAGGAAAAAAAAATAAATCCAAAACTGGTTTGTTCCATTCATGGTTGTCTTAGCAACAGGTATTCACTTCTGGTTGCCATAGGAACAGCGGTTGATAAGTTAAGGCAGGTTCTGAATTTAGTTCACTAATTAAATCAGTCATTGTCTTCTTATAAACTTTGAAACCAGACGGTCAGTCTTTGTAGAACTGTGTTTGTTTACAGGCTGACACGTGAAGCTGCTTCTGCAAATAATTCATGAACTGTAAAGAAAACAAGCGGCTTCGTATTTTGTGGGAGTTTTCCTGCTTGTTTGGGTAAAGCAGTCATTAAAAAAAAAAGTGTTGAAAGTTGAGGGACAGTTGCCTCCTCCACTGGTGGAGGTGGAATGTATCGGTAGCAAAGCATCATGGGATGGGAGAATGGAGGGTGGGCGTATAGATACAGATCTTGTTTTTCATTTTATTTGGACCAGCATTCAAGAACATGTGGAAACTATAAACTGGGAAGAAGCTTGAACAGAAATAGTGGAGTGCGTCTGATAAAAAAAAAGTAGTTACTGATCATGTTTGTATTTCTAAACATCACCAAACAAAGCAGAGACTCTCCATCTTTGAACAGCGAAAGATGACATTTAGAAATATTTATTCTGGTACATTTGAGGCTGAAGAAGACGAGCTCGATCACTGTGGACGCCCTGTGTTCGGTCCAAATGTCCAGCGCGTTTATTCATTCATTCATCTTTCCAGACTGGGGTCGACCTCACGTGGTCGGGGGTCGCTGTAATGTGTGTGTTCATGCGAGTGTCACTGCTCGTTCTGCTGTGTGTCTGTGATGGTGGACACGGCGCCCTGGCCTTTGCTGACGTCACTGATGCACGCCCACTGGCCGTCCATCGACTCCTTCCACAGCGTCACCTGCAAACAGTGAATAGAGCAGCAGTCAGAGGCCGGTTCAGCAACACCAGAGTATCTCGTCATGATCAGTCGGTCACATGAAGCTGGTTATTAAGTCGGTAAATCGTTGGCAGATGACCAATAACAAACACGGACAGGTCTACAGCTGCGCATTTCTCACAAAAAGAACAAACTATAACCTTAAAACCAATACGAGGAAGTAAAACTGGAAGACAGGCTAAAAGAAACACAGCAGCTGCAACCAAAACCAGACAGATTATCTCTATCACTGCCTCGTATAAAGGCACGATCAAAGTGAGATTTAACCATATATAAGTTGTTTACATGTAAGTGCAAAGGTGTTCAGTAAAGAGCTGGGTCTTTAGTCTTTTCTCTCGTCCCCCTCAGAGACCCTTTTCCAGCACTGCCTGCACACTGAGCTCTGAATGATCTTTCAGGAATGATGATGCAATTTTCCAAAAGAGCCGATTGGTCAATAGAGAGACTGTGTACATTTGCACATTGTACCTTGTTGTCTCCTCCAGAAACAGCCAGTATATTTCCAGTAATAGACCAGCTGACGTGCCAGACCACATCGTTGAATTTGTGCAGCAGTTTGGCTGTCCAGGTGTTGCCTGCAGGGTCGTCGCACGTCCAGATAAACACACGTCCGTCCTGGAAAAAGAAGAAGAAGAAGAAGGTGTAAAAACCCACTTCACTTTGGTGATGAGTTTTCAGGAAGCTGCCATTAAAATATCAAATTTAACACAACACTTCTGTGAGTCTTTAAAAACTCAAATGTAGCCTGGTTAGGATAACAGATATCGTATAGATGTGTAAATCAGCCTTTCTAAAGCCACCTGGAGAATTTTGGGATGCTTTCTTTGGCTCCATCTAGTGGTACAAGTGAGCAAATGCAACTTTTTAGAAGCTAAATAAATACTTGATAAGGAGGAGGAACATGACTGTTTAGAAACATAGCAGATGCTGCTAAAGGGCAGAGTATGTTGTAGAGGTCAAGTCTTGACATAAACCACATATCTGATCCCTTTAAGTCCATGAAGCCTCACCTGAGAGCAGCTGGCGATGGTGCTGGTGGGAAGACCAATAGAGGGAGCCCAGCCGACGTCTCTCACCCAATCACTGTGAGCCTCAAGCTTCTGATCCTCCTTCCACTGACCGTCCTCCTCTCTGAGCAAGACACAAATACATTTATTAAGGTTATTGCTGACATCACATAAAAGAAAGTGGGACAGAAAGTCTCTCGCCGATAACTTACTTCCAGAGTTTTACCAGGTTGTCACAGCCTCCGGATACGAAGCGCTTCACGTAGTTTGGTTTCTGTCCTGATGGCTGATCGATCAGGCTGCCTGGAACTACAGCGGGAGCCCAACTCACGGCGTTACAGCCAATCTGCAGCCAAATTACAGCACAGCGTATAACAGCCGACATACACGACACCAACAAATACAATGGCAGTGACGCAGATTTCTTCTCTGAGTAAAGCCGACATTTCATGTCTATGCTGCTGAGTGCTGTGTGTCAGACTCACAGTGTGTGCGTTGCTGATCTTCTTGACGTCCCACTGCTGATCTCCGGTGAATGTGAGGAGGGAAATGGCTCCGTCAGAGCTGCCGCAGGCCAGAATCAGACCAAAGTCATAGGGACCCCAGCAGACAGAGTTCACTGTAGACACACAGGAGCAGTTAAAAACAAGACCAACATCTCAAGACACAGTCAAACAATTTTACTTAGTTAACAAGTGAAACACACTTTGGGTATTGTGCAATTCATACAAATAAAATAAAACACAAAGCGCGTTACACAACAAAAAGAAAGAAGAAGAAGGAAAAAAAAAAGATACCCCTCATCTTTAAATGCCCCCTCCCAAATCTTTCCTAAAAAACAATTACAGTACCATTGAAGGACTTAAAAAATCCCCACTATAAATAAATGCAATAAGGAGCAATCCGAGGCAGAATAAGTCAAAACATTCAGAATTACAAAATAAGACGACAATAAAACTGTAAAGTGTTTAAAGACAGATTCAGCAGACTGAAATGTATAAACAGGCGAAATAAATCAATGCAAATCAACTAAAAAAGTAGATCTTGAGTTTGCCTCTAACAGTGTTAACTTCTCTGCTGCCCTCAGGTCTTTAGCTCCAGAGGCATGGTGCATCAAATAAAGGAATTTAGTTCTGACTTTAAATTAAAAGGCCTCTATCAGAAGGTTCTGCCAAATCTCCAGAACACTATTTCTAAGCAGAGAAGGAAGAAAAACAGCTAGAAAGAGAATAATAGAATGCTACTGAAACCAGACATACTCCAGAATATGGGGCCTGGCCATTACACAATGGTTTATCATGAAAAAACTGCTATAGTGACGTTAAACTGGTGAATTATTTCAAATAATATAACTGTTCTGTATCTGCACATTCACTGGGTTAGGCTGCAGCAAAAGGGTTATGCAGCTGACACCTGCAGGGGCCAATGAGGAGCCAAACATCTCAAAACAAGGAAATAATGGCGGTGACACAATATCTGTGATTTGGAAATGGTCTGGATTTTTAAAGCTGGAAAAGCAGCAGAAAAAACGCACAGCGAAATATGTAGTTGGCCTGTGCTGACCAAGTCTGCGGTTCCAATCCAGACTGTCACTACAAGCACCTGAGCTCACAAACAAGCCTCTGGTTTGACTGTAAAAAGCAGCTGCAGTGCATTGTGTTTGCCTTTTCACTGTTACCACGTATGATAAGAAGAAGGCATTAACATAAAAGTCAAAAATGTTCTATCTTATACATGGTTTCAAAAAGCTAAAGAAGCCCTGATACTGATACTCCTAGTAGGTTGTCTAGAAACAAAATGATACAGCATCAGTGGTCTTA